ACTTTAAAAATAAAAAACTTTCAAATTTAATACACATTTTTCATTATATACATAAATAAAAAAATTTTTTTACTTTCAGTATGAATATTATCTTAAAATTCGAGTCGAATATGAGTTAAACAATAATCGGGTCAGGTCGAACAACAATCGGCTCGAGTCAAATTCAGGTCCTGTAAATATTAACGGGTTCGAGTTCGAGTTTACTTCAAACCTGACCCAACCCGACCCTTACAGAGCACTAATCTAAATATATCAAATTATACTTTATTTAAAAAAGATACGAATAGTTAAGACATCTTATTTCTCAATATGTTTTTGAATTGAATTGTTTTTGAATTTTATATTCAGGTGAAAGAAGTTTCTCTTCAAAAGCTCTTTGGCAAAAAAGTTTACTTCGCAATTATTTTCGATTTCTGAGAAGCTGTATTATCAGAATTAATAAGGTTGATAGTTTTACTCAAAAAGTTGCATATCACATATCATTTAATAGTATCACCTGATCATTTGGGTCACCCGGGTCAAGCAAAATTGAGACCCTAACCCAATGGGTTTTAAGAAATTAGGACTTATGACATAAAATGATAGTCCTAACTCAAATTTTTTTTCAAGTTGGGTCAAATGACCCAGGTCTATTCGATCAGCTTGGAGCACCACTAATATATAATAAAATAATTTATTATTTGGAATTTAACTTTTTAAAAACATTTCAAATTTAGACAGTATATATATATTACCATCATACTGTTATTAAGCTTAACCTGTTTGTCATTAAGTTAACAAAAATTATTTGCTAACAGGGAGTTTAAGTACGTCTAAACTATGAAAGAAATAAACATGAATAATTAAATTGAAGGGTCAGATCATCTTTATTGATATAGATTTAAAGAAGAATGAATTATTAACGAACAAAGATAAGTTTTAAAGATAAATATTATTGATTTTATTAGAAGCGACTCTGCCATTTATTGAGACAAAAATACAAGATATTTTTATAAAATACATCAATATGAATAGATATTTAATATAGTAAAAAAATATAAAATAAAAAATTAAATATATTAAAGAAATGTGTGAAATTAGAGAAATAAGTGATTACAATTCATCAATTATGTTTGGCGCAGTATCGTGCGTCATAACAAGATTATTACTAACACCGTCATGTTCAGAGTTTTACATGTTTTTTACGATTATGATTATAAATCATGGGGTCAGTTAATAATTTCACATTACGGAATATAAGATCCGTAACGTGATTATAAATCACTCACATTACAAATACTTTGTTAAAAAACCATAATATGGTTATTCAATAAATACGATAGAGCCGAAAAAAAAAAATTTTTTTTGTGTCCCTCCTAAATATTATACTGTCTAAATACAAATAATTTTAAGTTACGAGTAATATTAAGCCTCATTTTACCTAAAGTTATATAATTATAAATTTTACTATAAAAGGATAATCAAGCATGGCATGTTACGCTTTGATTTTGTTTCCAGATATTACCATTTTATTTATAGGATAATTTATTACAATTTTATTTTAATTTAATAATTTATTGCTTCTTATCAAATACTTTTAGGAATTTTCCTTAATTGATAAGGATCCAATGAAAATTTATTGTATTGTATTCCTTTCTTAATTTTTAAATTATGAGTAATTATGAGAAATCCAAAGAATGACAATAGACACGGTCATGACCGGTATGTCCGTGACTCGGGCAAAGGCTTTGGCCGACCGGCTCGGCTAGGCTGATGGCTAATTATTTACGATCTACAACTTTTTTAAAAAATACTGTGCCACATTAACTAAAAAAAGATCAGCTACTTAGTTCCTAAATTCTAAAGCAGAGCAGTGAAGTAACACAATAACTTCTTGAAGAAGCTAGTTCCAGACACCTTATTTTAGAAGATTTGCTTAGGACGATTTCTTATTCAAGAAAATCCATCATTTTATATCAACTTTAGCAAGCACAAATTGGCAACAAGATACCAATGTCTTCATTAAATTAATAATAAAAAACGTATATTATTGTTAATAATTTTCTTATTATTTTAAATTTTAAGTGTACTTGTCATTGATAAAATAAAATCGATGTTTTTCCTACTTTTAAATGTCGTTATTTAACATGCTCATAATTATTATTGACATTTTAAACTTTTCTTGGTAAGATCATTCCTTACATTTGGGGTAATTGTCAAATAACTTTCACAATTTTTTATATCATGAAGCAACTGATATTTTGATAGACAGCTTCGTTGCGTTGAACAAATCTGACAATTTATAGAAAGAAATTTACGTGGTAATTACAATGAGGAAATTAGTTTGTTTTTATTAATGAAGAACATGTCATAAAGAAGGTGTAATTTTTGCTAAAGAGAATGAATTGATATTAGCAAGCGGCTAGGAAAGATGCGCATTCAGTGCAAGAAGCTTGCAAAATAATGTAATCCTTAATATTTAGTTGCATATTTGTATCAAAATCAAATGATTGTATTTGTGGGAAACTTTTCACTTAATAATGCATATTATTAATAAAAGTAAATTTTGATAGATTAGTAATTTTTCACCACTTAACTATATAAAATCAGCAAGCAATTAAAATTGTTTTTCTAAGGATATACGTAATTATCAATATACATTTTACGCTTTTTTTTTAATCTCTTCTCTTTAACCACTACCCAAAAATATGGCAAAATATAAAAATGAGGCTCCTTTTGTCGGTAAACATGTATTATTATCTCATCCTAAATTATCCGAGGATATCACATTTCGTTAAATGTCAGAGATATTTTTAGAAGCGAAATTAAACTATTTCAGGCAAATACATATTGATTTACAAGAACATTTTTTTTTTAGTTCATTTTATGTAATTATCGCTATTTGTTTTATATAATTGATTGGTAAAGATATTCATGAAAATGTAATTAAAAGAGACATTGATCTAAGAGTACGATAAGTCCTTAAAAGTAGTTATTGTGATGTTTAAAGTTTTAATGAATTTACAAAAAGTGACTAAGATGAAATATGTAATAGTATAGTATGTTATTAATATGAATAAAATTAATTTTGGATCTTAACTATAGAACAAATCAATCACTTTAAAAGCAATTAGCAATTTGTGTGGATCCGAGAATAATATCGAACTAATTGTCACAAGTATTAAAAAATATTGAAATTCCTTAGCTAATCAGTAAGTTGACAAGGATAATACCTTTATTTGAACAAGTTCGATAAGGAAACGCTATAATAAAGCTGGAGCGAGATCCGGGATGCAGGTAATACGTATTCAATGGCTTATATTTTAATTATTTTTTTTTTATTTTTCTTTCTTTTTTTTTAAAAACATAGATAACAAGTAATTTCCTTTTAGATAACTTCCTTCTGAAGTTTAACACTTAAAATTGGATCTTTTTTTTTGCCAAATTTGTTTAACGTCACTGATCAAGCGCCGCATAAAGGAAAAACAAATAATTCGATCTAACGTTTATAACACAAATATTATTTCCGATAAATCAATAAAAAATAAACGAACCTGAAATTATCACTGATTCCATCATAGTTAATAAATGCTAAATCTTAATATTTTTGTGTGCTTCGGAGTGCCAGGACTGCCTCACATGTAAAAAAATACGGAAGTCTGGTACGGGATTTCCATTTTTACGAATATCAAAGCAGCCATTTTCAAGTTTCGCCGTATGTCAACGACCAAACATTTTGTCCAGATATATTTCTATTTAGTTTCTCTTATCATTGGCATAGGGTTCAAAGGCTTTTGGTGATCTCTGCAGAATCTTTGTTATGCTGATCGAAAGAGCTTACAGAAATTTGAATGAACATGCGTCCAATTATGATATCGAACCGTGGGTATTTTGCAAAACCATGGACCAAGGACTGGCTGTGTTGAGTTTCAGGAGCAAGCTGACCTTTCTCAAGAGCAATGAAGTGTTTGAACTGGATATGTACATCTGTCGTAAGATGTCCGTTCAAATCTGTTGCCTTAAGTTTATCATTGCGATGATTCAACAACTGTTGGAATAAAAGTTTCGTCTGTGAGTTGACCATTTCTAATAGAAGTAACACTCACATATTTAGGTATTGGGAAAGTCCGATATATATCTAAAAGTGCATCCAAAGCAGCTGTGCACAGCTGCTTACACTTCACGTAATAATACCCATTTTAAACCGATATACTAGCCCAGTATCCAAGAGCTTCCAATCAAAGCTTACAGTACTATAAATATCTGATTACTTTAGAAACATGTTCGAAAGATTTCTGTGGTAATCTCTTTTGGAACCAGCATTGAGCGTCTCAACATAATTCCTTGCAGATAGTAGAAAAGCATCACGTCAATTTTTGCGAAAGGATTCTAGCGATTCATAAAAGTGCCACCACTTTATATGTTTTCAGGAATCTGTGACTCCATCAGCTTCGACAAATAGGAGAGTTTTGCGGTTTACTTGTTGAAGCACGTTAGTAAATATGTTTGCACCACACTCTACAGTAACTCAGGTCATTTGATTCCGCTACATTTTCCACTAACAGTTCATTATCAGCTACAGTAAAATGTTTTTGTTTATAGCCAGAAAGCGTTTACATATCTCATCAGATGACATCTTCATTGCGGGCTGATCAAGTTTAGCTGCATCTGAAATGTAGAACAGCAACCATTTTTCAGCATATGCCCTTGCGACGTTGTACAGTGCAAAGTATGACTTCCTCACACCCTGGGGCCTGAAAGGACACGCTTATCAGAATGAAGGTGATCATTTGAGAAATCATTCCTCATCTGGTTGGTAACCTTCCTTCCCAGGTAGCCCTCAGCAAATTGTTTCGGTTCCAATTCAAAATTTGGTAGAGTAAAATATTGGACGCGCGGATCTGGGACGAATTCGCTGCTAATGATTTGGGATCAGATGTTTTATATGATTTACGGTCATCTATTCTACGTTTCTTTGTAGGATCTGCAAAGTGTAGGAAAGTTTCGAGTATTAATTAATGCGATGAAACGATGGCTATTAAAAAGTTTAGTACGTCGTATTGACCAATCGTTACGATGCCAAAGGGCTTATCATCTAAATCCATAGGCACATGATAAAGAACAAATAAAGTTTAGTAGTAGATCACAAACAGTATAACGGCAGATATTTCATGCCATCAGTTATGGTCGTCAATAAATTTTTTAAAAAGATGTAGTTTATCTTCGTCTGCTTTGCGGGGACAGAACACAATAATTTTCTCATCTCGTTACGCGTAATTAGATAAACTTGAAGCTTATTCAATTCTTCTTTTGAGAGTCCAAGATTATCAATAATTTCGAAATGTTTGACATGATGTTTATTGTAGATTTTATTAATTTAGAAAATGAAAACGATTGTCTTGAGTATGTTATATCAGACCTGTGGTTATATATATGACTCGGAATAAACTTTTATAAACTTCAAAATCAATTAACATTACACATTTATTTCGTGAGGAGGGAATACCAATAATGTAAACTTTGTTAAACTTCATCGATTATTAATTGAGAACGTGTATTTAAATTTCAAAGATACTAAAGAATTTCAGAAAATGGCACTTGCTAGCATATAAATAATAGCCTCAAACCAGCCAGGCTGAGATTTTTCAATGGGGAAGTTATGCAATACTGGTTTATTGTATTTCTCGTTTATTAGATTTTTCCTGTAAATATTTAAATTTTTACTTATGAATTAGAAAATAACATCATGATATTTCGAAGTTCATACTCTAGCAGATGTTACTTAAGCGATTCAAAAGACACAATCACATGAACACAATCCGGTGCGAATTTTTACATTCTGTAGCAAATCTTTATGAAATATAAAAATGATAACGTTTAACTAACTAATGTTTCTAAAATTACTTTCACATGCTATTTTAACCATTTTAACATTATTTTATCTGACACATCAATAAATTAAGCGAAAATTAAATAAATAAAACATTTTTCCTCCAAAATATGATGATCCTGAACGCTCAAGTGGCCAAGAAGAGAGGGATTTGTAATATGCGAATCTCCAAGGTTACTGGAATATTGTGGCGCAGCGCGATGAAAAGGAAGAGTACGAGAGACTCACTATAAAAATGCACAACCTTCACTCGCAACTTCGTGTAAAGTCGATGTTTTTAACGGAAATGTGCTTGTTATGGCAGCAAATGAAACATGTAACAAAGGAAGCAAAGAAGTTTTGATTTGAGTATTGCAAGAAATTCCGTAAAAGCATAATAACTTTGAAATTTGGTAATATATAATTCTTAATTATTATTTTTGTATCTATTGAATTACATGAATTACAACAGCTAAAAGATTTCGAATGGTTTCAAAACTGGTATAATCATTTAAATTTACTAAATTTATAAGAATTCTGTTTATATTAAATGTTATTTATATTTTTAAAGCATGGAATATTGCATTAGAATTCCGATAGTTGTATGACCATCTATTAGTTTGTTGAAATAATCACTGTAAAAGACAAAGTAAATCAAATTTCTAAATGAATACGCAAAACGGCACTTTTCTTTGGAACTGGATATATTTGACAATTTATAGCAAATGGTTGGATAATTTAGGCATTGAATTTGAATAATATCAAACAGTGTTATCAAACGAAGTGATGGTGTGAAGTCGCGATGAAATTTTGTCAGCTTTTAAAAATGATGAGTATACGTAAATAAAATTTTTTTTGTTTCATTGAACATTTATTTGAATGTTGAATATTTAATACCACAATATCTTTTAAAATATGAGAAAAAATACGGAAATAATCAAACGCCTCGAAACAATACAAAAAAAAAATAATTATGCAATATATTATTATATTATTATTTTGTTAAAGTTGTTTAACCAAATAATCCAATTTGAAATTATATGAAGCGTCAGTTACTTTAATAAAATTTTCATTCATTGAATTATCGACTTTGTTTACTTTGTTTATTACAAAAAAATAAAAAAATTTTTTGTTGTGGGTGGTTTTACCTTTTACCTTTTACCATTTACTCTTTGAAGTTTCCGTTTGGTTTGTTTAATATAACAATAAAAAATTATAATAATATTTACTTTGTTAAAGAAATCAAATAAATTTAATTGTTTGTAATTTGAAACGCATGTTGGCTGGGTTCCACCAAAATAAAATTTTAAGTATTGATTTGAAATTTGTGACGGCTTTACCTTTGAACCGTTTCCATTTTCGTTATTTCTTAAGAACCAATAAATTGTATTATTGACTTTATGATGTGTGTGGCACAAAGTGCCATAATTTTACGTTAATCAATCAAAAATCTGTTACACCAATAAATTAAATAAATTTGTAACAAAACACAATATAAAAAATACAATAACTGTAAATAATCAACACTGGCGACATTATTATAAACTGCTAAAAAATTTTTTTTTTGTGAGGTTTCCAAAATATGAACAAACGCAACAAAATCGGAAGGAAATATCTTCTCAATCATTTTTGCGCCATTCAATAACAACTTATACAACGCCACTTTCTTTCATCACATTCAAGAATTTATTACTTAAAACATGAGAGTAAGAAAATTTGAAAGGAAAAAGGCCATCCATTCTAATGATTATCAGTCCAATTTAGGATTGCTAACAAAGGATGGCGATTGTTACTAAATTTGAATAATACTGATCATTTTCTTTCATTGATTACCAAATTTGTTTAGTATGAAGTGTATGAAGTATTACTGTATATAAATTCTTAGATTTCTTTTTTTCTTAAAATGTATCAACAAATAAAGTAAAATAAAGGATCAAATATATATAAATACCCAAATTTTTTTTATTAGAAAAAAAAAAAAATTCTATAATTTTTTTAATTTTATTATGTATAGTAATTATCGTTATAAACCAAATTATTCAAGACCAAAGCTTCAATTTATAGAAGATGAGATCAAAATAAATATTTTTAAGCACGTTGAACACCCTTTAAATTTGGCGCTCTCTTGTAAAGGTTGGGCAAATGTAGCAAAGGATCCTTATGGAAAAACAGAGTGGCTTTTGTCTCGTTCAGGAAGAACCCATGCATTATTTTATGCCGTAAAGTTAGGGCCAAGTTTTCTTGATATTCCCGTGTGTGAAAATTTACTTTCAAGAAAAGTTATCATTTCAAGATATTTCGTTCAAAGGTTATTGATGCATTATGGAAAGTTTGATAGTCAATTGATAGAACTCAAAATTCAGCATAACGTCAATCAAGTTGATGCAAATAGCGTCTTTGCATTTCAACAAAAAAACAAATCTCCTTGGGCAAGCGATTTATCATTACCCGTATTCCTTTATTTATTAAATGAGGGATGTAAACGATTAGGAAATTCTGTTCCTTTGAAAGGCAATGATATGGAATTATTTCATTTCTTATCAGCTGGACCTCATGTAATCGCTCAAGCTCCTGGAGTGCTAAGGAGAAATTTAAAAGCCATCGAAGATTTGATTTTGAACCGATATTTCATCCCATTTCCACCAAGACCCAAAAAGATTCCGATAGATTCGAATAATGATCTTCACGCCCATCCACCACCACCTCCTGAAGAGTATCCACCCAAAGATGGTTATGAAAATAGTAGGCAGTTAAACGTAATAGCGAGAGCAATATTAATTCATCCCGATTTGGTGATTTTATGGAAACAAATTGGTTATGTTGAAATTTGTGAAGATGTCAATGATTTAGTATTGCAAGGTGCATTGCTAATTCTCTTTCCACCAACTCCTCCTCATGATTGGATATGCCCAAGCGTTTCAGATGTAATTAAACGTCTTAAAGATCTGATAGAGTTGGGATTCGAGTTAAAGTATAGTGTTATCGTTGACGCACTTCATATGTTTGAAGATCGATTGGACGTAATCGGGGATTTGCTTTGGAATGTTTTCTGTGCCTTCCGATCCGATGAACCAATGAAATGCGCATATAAGTTTTTTCAGGAAGCATTAAAACCGGAAAGGAATTTAAAGAAAGATCATTTATTAAACTTTCTTAAATCAAAATTTGATTATCATGAGCAAATTATTAAAAAAATTGTTGTAAAATATTTTGAAGATGAAAAGATTGACAATATGGAATCAAGAAAAAAATCGTTGATTTTTTCGCCAAAAGTTTATCGATATATACTCAATACATACGGAAGGGAATCAGAATTGACCTTGGAATGTTTTAAAGATATTTCGGCCTTGAAGACTTACATTGATGATGCGTCACTTAATTCAGAAGCTGATGTGATGTCGCCTTTCACACAAAATTCGATCTTGACCACTTTTAATTTGTATGTTAAAGAGATGGAAAATCCAAACCAAAACACACGTAATCATATCAAGAATTCAACTTTGAAATGAAGGTTTGAAGATAATTCCGTGAAAGAATGCTTGTCCCTTTGAAACTATTTTAGTCAGATTAAAATGTTGAAAAAGGAAATAATTAGTTTTGTTAGAGGGTTATAACTAGATAGACATAGGGTAGGGTGCATTCGGACAGGATTTTTGTAGTTGGTGAAATAAATCAAAATTTGAGAGTAAATTGGTTGAGTATACAGTATGTATTTTCTCATTTAATTTTGCCATGCGTGCGTGTAACGCCGGAGACGGACTTCCGTGATGAAAATCCTCCTATTACACAACAATTATGAATTTGTGACATAATAAGTTGGGAGCGAACGATCGGCAAAATCAAACAGTTGAATTTGTGATGTTTACCTTCGTCGATACGTCGGCAGCGAAAATATTTGAAATGCAATCTAAGATTATTTTAAATATTAATTTTTCAAAATTTGCATTATTAAAAAATTATAAATGATCAAATTAAATAAAATAAATTATCGCACTTTAAAATTCTCGATTTGTAAAAATGATCGACATTTAAAAAATTAAAAGTACTTGTATAACCGTATTGTAGCCCAAATGTGTTAATGTCCGACATGATCATTTGGGTTACCCAAATCCCAAATGATCAGTCAGGCATTAATGCATTTGGACTACATTTCATACTAATTTCTAAAAACGGTAATAAGTTTATCTCAATAACTTATATAAAAAAATGTTTCAAAGAACCCAAATGTATATGGCACAAGTTAAGTTCGAAGATCTTATACAATATGGGAAGTTTGCTATTAAAATCCATGTTCGGATCATGTCTTATAACCTAATTTTAATAGCAAATATTTCAAAAGTCACGGGACAATCGATAATAATAGCATTACGACAAAAGGCTCGAACCTTTTTTTGGGTGTGAATCCTATTTGTCACTCATTATTTGACACATCCTCTTATTAAAACTAATCGACACAAATCACGTGCCCGAGTTTTTTTGTCGGTGAGTTTTAATATCAGAATTTCAGTGATCGGCTATTCAAATCACCTTACGGATCATATGATTCCGTAAGATGATTTTAATAGCCGATCACCGATTGGAAAAAGCCATCCACATATTTTTATGGGGTGGGGTAAAAAAAAATTCTATATCGAGTTATTTTTAAATGATCGGATCGACAGTGCCGTGAATTTTAAAAAATACTCTGTATAAAAAATAATGGAAATCTAAATTTTGGTCAAAACTTTTTATTGGTCCACATGGAATGTTTCAGAAAATTATTTTAGGAACGATAAAATTTCCTTTTTTTTACTGACGTCCTCTAAATCATTAATATAGTAATCTCGTAATTTATCATGTCACAGTTAACGTTAAAATAATGGAAACAATAGTTGCTTAAAATATTCAAAATTATCAACCGTAATTATTACAAAAACTATTTCTTTATCATAAATATCTTTAATGAAGTTTATCACCACCAAATACAAGTCATAAGGTTTAAAAGTCTAAACATAAAAGGACATATAGGAGATTTAATATGAGATATGTGAATAGAACCAGACAACCAATCATAAATCGAGTAGTTGATTAATCAAATGCAACATTACAAAGCAAACTTGAACAACAACATAATTTAATCGTTTTGATTTCTCTTCTTGTATTAATAATTCATTATATAATGAATTATTTCATCAGATTTACATAAAATTTATGTAATATTGCATTATATGGGGTGATCGGCTATTTTAATAGCCGATCACCAATTATAAGAAGGAACTTTTTATCAAATTTCACAAAAAAAAAAATATATACCAAATCTTAATCTACTGCGTACGGTTCTTTGAAAATTATACAACAAATTTTTTAAAATTTAATTTAATTTATTAATTTTCACGTTGCTCAATAAACGCGATTCTGCAGAAATAACATTCGTATCCAACTTATTAAACCTGTATCAACTTCATTACTATTTTACTATTTTACATTATTTATCTAGTTTATATTATTTTCATTATTTATCACTATCGAAATAAAAAAGCGTAATATGTGATTTTGTAGATATTTGATCTAGAATCGACAGAGTTTTTAAAGTTTTTTTAAAAATAATTTCAAGTAAAGCCCTTACAAATTTATAAAGATACTATTTTTACATTCAACCTTCTTCCGGTCCTCATTTAGGTTTTGCTTGTGATATATTGAATCATTAGTCGTTTATTTGTCTTAATTATCTCATTGAAAATGACTTTTGTTTATTTATCTTTACGCTTAGTATAGTATCAGAAGGCGGATTTATTCATTGGTAAATTTATATTGTAAAAGAAGGGGCGCGTTTCGTTTGAAGAAATAATTTTTTTAAATTCAAAAATGTTTTTTTATCAAAATTTATAATTAAATTTTAAATAATTTAAAATATAATAAATGAAGTTAAATATTGAATATTATATTTACATAAGATAAAAAAATAATATGTAAATATTGCGTTTCAACTGTAGTTTATTTCATTAGAAAGACGTTTGTTAGCATATAAATCCAATAAAAATTACTATTATTAATCCCTAAACTCTAGTGTTTAAAACATTAATTTTAAAAATATCGTACTTGGAATTTTTGTTCTTACTGATAATCATCCGAATTGAAAATGATTTCTTTTAAGATTTCATCTACCGGGGGAGGACAAAAGTTTTGCACGATTTTGATTTAGATATTTTAATAATTTATCATATGTAACTGGGCCATATTTTTTTAGTAACATATTGGCTGGCTTATGCTTAATAAAATATTTAAATAATTGTTAAAATTAAAGCATTGCAAGGTGTAAAATCGAAAATTAAAAACACATTACTTTTCAATTTATCGCATGTACTAAGCTTCGATATCGGATTCAATATTTGGTTTTTTAAATGTTTCTCTTGCAAAAGAAACCAAATAACTATTGTATAATGATATCCTATAATATTTATGATTTCTGAGTTACTGGACCAATTTTTTTGCTTTAATAATGCCCTTTTTTTCTAAAAGATAAGTCGCCAAAGCGAACTTTGAGAGTATTTTCAAATTCGATTTAACGAATTGCAACATATTAATTCAAACTATAATAAAAATATTTCATTTATGTAATCGATAATCAATATGTTACAAAAAAATATGGCTTAGTTACATATGATAAATTAACTAAAATATCTAAATCAAAACCGTGCAATACTTTTGTCCTCCGGTATATAATAGACCTTAATGATGCGGTCAAAATTATTTTCATTGTCCTAAATTTGTATAACTAGGTTAGAATTTAATTTAGTTTTATCTATTTTGTCATATAAATTAGTTAAAAATTCGATAGTATATATTTTTATTCAATCCCGGATAAAATTTGATTAAAACCAAACCTCGGATGATCTATGAAAACATTTCCAATATCACTCATTATATAGACTTGAATTTTAGATTTAGAAAGTCAAGTAAATTATATATTAAATTCTATTATATTTCATATCATACTTTCGATTGTAAAGTGAGTTGTTTTTCCGTATTTTAATTAATAAACCTAAATTGTAAAGTTTTAACTCCTTTCTTTATTGTCATAATATATTTATAATCTCCAATGAATTACTAAACTTGGGGTTTATGCTGCTATTTAATTTAATAATTCATTATTACAAAAAGCAATATAATGTTTAAAGACAGGTTAATGCACAACCCGTCATAATTTCTGCAGCTAAATAATAGTAGTTAATTGAAAAATCGCGGACACATTTGGATAATTTAAGCAACATATAAAAAATTTTTTATTAATTAAAGAATTAAAAAAAATAAAATAAAAAGCAGATATTTAATATATCCTTTTGTGAAGAAGTTCATTGAATATATCATAGCTATTGCATTAAATATATTTTTTAACCTAATTCAATAATATATTACCGGAATATCTCATGAAAGTTCAGAGCAGAATAATTGATTGTTCCAATATTTATATTTGAGTACTTCTAATTAGCCATCCTCTAGATGCACTACCCTTCTATATTTTTCTCCTACTGTAACTATATCTACATAATATTCTGCAGAACTGGGGAAAGTGATGCTTTCCTTCCATCTGTTGGATTCTAACATCAGAGGTTCTTGGAACAAATACTTTTCCAACCAAATTGCATTTTATTCATTTTCCTTAACGTTCATTGCTCAATTACAAAGCAGATAGTTGCCAACCATAATAATAATTGTCGATAGGCTTTTTTATTGCTTTGTTCCCACTTGATAACTACTAAATCTCCCCTAATTCAACTGTGATGTATTTAGTGTTGTGGCCTGATGTCCTTCCGTGAAAATCAACATCTAGAACTGTATTAAAAGGAGTTTTAAAATTTAAATAATGAATGGTGTTAGTATATTATACCAAATATCAATTACATTTTTAAATCAATTTTAAATACCTTATTATTTTCGATTGACATTTTTGCGTCTAACACATATGCTGTAACGAGCATTATTCCTAATGTGGGTGTGTTTGCCAGGTATAGCTTGATTTGAGATGACGAAGTTTCAGGACGTTTAATTTGATTAAAATACAAGTTAAATTTTGTTTTATTATTCAACTTAGTTACTAATAAAACTTACTTTCAAAAGAAATACAATTTTTTAGTGCAATATCTGCTTTATCTGCAAGGTCGTGGAGATTTTTATTGTAAATACTGTCTTCAAATTGTAGTGATAAAATAAACTTTATTCGAGATTTTCTCGCATTTTTTGTTTCTGTTAAGAAGTTTGAAGTAATCCATTAAGTAAGATAAAACCAGATGTAAAAAGACCATTTCATAATATATTACGTTCGCTTACATAGATAAAATTTGAAAGTGAACATGCTGCGATAGAACAAATGCTTGAAATTCATACAGTGCATTTTAGATGTAAGTAATTTTCGTGACATCGCAAGTCTCACTAATCCATTAAGTCAAATATTACAAATTTTGAAGTATATGTGTACCTTGTGCCTTTGATACTTCAAAACATGCTGATAATTCATATACATCACCCAAATCTGTTCTCATAAGATCAAGTTTATTTTCAAAGTTATTTAGTATACATTTTTATTTGTCTGCATATATGTAGGTAGAAATGGCAAAGGAAAGAAATATTAATAGAGGTATTTTTTGGACATTTACGATAGTGGTAAAAAAAAGTGCAAGAAAAAGGTATTAGAATTAGGAAACTATTAGTATATATAAATAAAGAATGTACAGTAATTATAGTCAATTTTACTAAAATTGCTATAATTCATTGTTAACTACAGGAACTTTAACAATAATTCTAATACTGTTTCCCTTAATGTCATAAAATGCTTTTCCAATCTTTTGTGTTAAGCTTTTTAACTCATTTTCATCAATATTAACCTAAGATCTTTGGCTTTACATTGCCAGTCATACAAATTTCCTCTAAGATAGCTTTATTTAGGTCGTAAATAGAGTTAAGATTTCCAATGGTAACAGAGAAGCAGCTACATCTATATGCAAGACACAAAGTATTATATGCATACTATCAATAGACATTTATGCGTTTTTTTGTATAAAAAAGTCAAAATGGGGAAAAGGTTAAACCAAAAAATTCTTTTTGTAGTATTGGAAAAATAGGGTATTATAAAAGATTAATTGTCACACAGAGTTTATAAAATTATAACATAAAAAAAGACTACAACCACATATTTTATTACTAAGTCAAAAAAAAATAAACAAATCTTAAATTATAAAATGTAACTAATATCTATAAACACTTATGATCAAACTTCAATTTATAATTTTTAAACAGAAATTGTAAAATGAGGAAAATAATATATAGTAAAAATTATTAAATCATATTTTAAGTAATAACTACAAACGAGAACATCTCCTCAAAAATGTAACATAACGAAAAAAAAAACTTATTCGCTTGGTTTTCTCTACTAATAACAGTAGAATGAAAACGAATGGGAGTAATTTTGTTTTTGATCATAACACCATATCGATACGTAAATTATTCTGATCCTTTCATTATCTTTGACATCTTTGGTTTGACCTGATTTTTGGTTGGAATCTTTTTAACTGGTTTGATAGACCTCTTCAATACTTTTATCTCTCGCTTTAGAATGTAGTATTGATATAGTCTGCTAAAAAAATAATTAGAGCGAGTTCATTTCAGCGTGGTTCGTAAAAAAGGAAACAATAAGACTTTATTTAATGAATATTCAAAAGGAACAAAGAATAAAAAACCAGCCAGTAGTTATTTCCCAAATTTAGACAGTAATATAAAACTGCTGATCATGGTTGTGTTTTCTTTGAAAATGTTGAAATCGAGAAATAAGTTAGCTTTCATATGTTGTTCAGAATATTTTTGCAATTCTAAACAATATACATATGAAAAAAAGCTTATGCCTTTCTTTGGAATAATCGTTTCCTTTACGTAATAAAAAATTGTATTAAAAAGATTGCTATAAATATTTTTATAGTTTCATTTTATTGCATATACAGTAGCGCTCAAAAGATTTGCATCACCGAGACAAAAAATTAGAAATGTTAATATCATATTATCTAAATATAATTGACTTTTTAGAACAAATATATTTAAAAATAGAAAACTGGAGCTACCTAAAAACATCATTTAAAGTACAATATGTTATATTCAATAAATTATTGTGTTGATCTTTTTCCTAAAATAGTAATGCATATCTTATGACCGTTTTGTCAATCTAAACATTACTATATATGAAAATCATTAAAAATATTGATTTTTTTTTTTTTTAAATCATTGTTAAAAATTTTTTTACCCCTTTATTCACACATTAATTAAAATTCATAAATTTTTAAAAATGGGTTATTTGTTCTTGAGAAAAAAAACAGAATTTTGACACTTATTGAAGAAGAATATCCTTCTCGTTTTATTGCTTCTTGTGAAGATATTAACCAGTCTAATGTTATTTGAATAAAACAAAAAGCAAATAAAACTGGTTCTGTAAAAGATTTGCCCAAAACAGGCCGCCCAAGAATTTTTGATGACC